TACAAATCGGTCCTTTGTGAGCTAATAATTTTTTTTTTTTTTGGGCAGGGGCCGCGCGAATGCTGGCCCCCACTACCACAAATTATGACGTAGGCTCGACCACTTGGGCCAACCTTAGACGGGCGCCCCTCCCAAGTGCAATGGAGGTCGCCAATCTAGGCCATGGGCCTTCATGATCACCCATTGACCCGTCCAGGTAAGTTTGTGAGCTAATAATTTAACTTTATTGGTTTGTATTGTTGAACATATTTTTGTATTTTAAGAAAATATGGCAATTTAAGGAATTTCATAAGTCCAAAATCTTTAAATAAGAATGAAAGCATCACGTGCATCGCACGAGGTCACTAAGGGAGTGATTGGCTATAAATTTGACTAGTTTTTAATTAGTCTCTTTTAACCATAGTTAATTTTGAAAAAAAAAAATGATATTGTTAGTAGATATTTAAGTTTAAATTAAAATAATATTTAACATAAAATAATTAAAGTTGATTTAATGAAAAATTAAGAGAAAAATTATTACAAATAATGGTTGGTTAAAATTATATAAGTTGATGAATAGTAAATTAAAGTTGATGTAATGTGTTAAAATAACATAATTGATATTATTTAATTATACTTATAGTATTAGATATGGTGATGTTGAATTAAATTTGAGCTAAATTTAAGTTTTGACAGTTTTTTTTTTTAAGTTGAATTGATAAACAATCACCCCCTAACGGTTTTCCAACTCGTCAGTCAGTTGTCTTGTTTGAGGCCTCAATTTCTCTCAACTAAAACCCTAATTTTCTTCAAGAACATAATGTTTCCAAGTTGTTGATAATATCCGAGATCTTGTCGAGATCTACTTTCGATATACAGAGGCAGCATTCAGAGGAATAGTTTGAATACCAAAAGTAAAAAAAGCAACATATCTTAAGAGCCAAAAACTGGTATTATTCTTAGCAGCAACGTCCCACAACATGTAGAACATTCATAATTTAGCCCATAAAACCACATGAATATAATACAACAATTAATATAATACAAGTTACTTGTTTCTCTAATCATTTTAGAGAATAATCAAGATGGACTATTCGTCGTGCATTGTTGATGAATAGAGAATAATCGAACTATAGAAGCCAACCTGATAACAAACGAATCGATAAAATCAGTTAAGATGGGTATATAATCATAATAACATCTCAACTAACCGTATATTTTACAATGGAAGTCGACGTTCTTAGTTTCTTCGCGAGATTTTTGAATATATTGGTAAATGTTGAAACTCAAAACTATACACCCATGCTCAAAGATTGAAAAGAATGATAATTCAAAATTCAGGATATTAATCGACAAGCAAATATTGAATACGTAAAAAATTACAAAATAATAGAAATGAAAAAAAAAAAAAAAANNNAAAAAAAAAAAAAAAAAAGTTGCACCTTTGTATCCTATCAAGGTTGTTGATAGGTGGGTATAGGGACCCCTGATCCTGCAGTGAGTTCTTTATAAACATTTTGCAATTGTCGGGTCACGGGACCCACTTTACCATCACCAATTATGCGACCGTCGATTTTTACAACCTGCGCAATTAAAAGAATAATAATACCAACATCAACACTTACGACGCCAAAATTTAGAAGTGGCAGCGAAAACTACAATTTTTTCAAGGGGTTTGGCAAATTTTAAAACAGTTGAAGTTTCTTAAAAAACATAATAAAACGATTTAATACTAAAATACTTAACTGGACTGAGCTCTCCCATGGTTCCCGTCGTGAAGACCTGCAGCGGAATAAATAATTAAGAAATATCATTGTCAACAAACAGATAAGAGAAACTTCATTTTGCTTCTCTCTATATAAGATTCATTATAGAGAGCACAAAAGGATTCGACCTCGTCTGCTGTATGGAACTCTGACAGACTAATACGCCGCTCAGCCAAAAGAAAATTTTCCTTGACCACAAGTCCCATCACCTGCAAACACAAGCATCAGTTTTTGAATGTCTAACTTGAACTTTACAATGGATAGTGTGCATTATTGCAAGAGATAAACATTTACAGAGGGCACGCGCCACAAATCAAATTTGGATAATAAAAAAACTAACTATCTTTACTTAGTCTCATTATAATTCACCTCCGATATGAGAGCAAGTGATAACCAGAATATGTACATGTAAAACAATTAGAAGAGACCAGAGCAAATAGAAGATATTCTCTGATGCAATATATGTATGTATGCGTATGTATATATGATGTAATATAATGAATCTCACAGTTTCTCGTGTAATTCCAGGAAGACAATAATCAGCGTGAGGCGTCGCAACGTGACCTTTCTTCACAAGAAACTGCAACAGAGATGGGTGAAATTGTTACTTAGTTAATGACTTGCAAAGGGAATGGGAGTGTAGAAGATCCCCAAATGCCGGCTGAGTAAAAGAGCTTACTATATTTGTGGCATTAGTTTCAGAAACATAACCATCTTTGTCGAGCATTATTGCATCATCGGCCCGTGAATTATTCCCTTCTACCTGCACCAAATCAAAATATCTAAGATAAAATTAAATAATACTGCCGAAATGTATGACAAATAATTGGACCAAGGTAATTGAATCAACATTAATACATAGTTCTTCAAGGTCATTTGGGGACCCACACATATTGTCAAACCAAGAAACAAAGAATAGTAATTTTTTTGGACTCCAGATATATCAAGTCAAGATCTTTCTCGCATGCTGATGTAACAAACCAGTTAAACTTGATCCTACCTTGGCAACAATGTTGTTAAGAAGGTTGTTGTGGTGAATTTTAGAATCCAAATTCTGCAAAAGACAAAGTCCCGATTCAGAGTTGTTAAATTGCATAGATACATCCGATAAAAATATGAGTTAGAAAACAGTTTGAGCCTACGCATATAAAGGGATTCTATGACTAAGGACTTTAAAAGACATTACATTAGGTGAATTACGTCGTGTGGTTGCTGTCACCAAAATTATACCACTTTCATTGTCATAGACTGGCGGCTTCAATTCAGCAAGCACTACAGATGTAGAAAATGAAGCCTGATTACATATGGTGAGTTATCCGGCATTTTGAGGAATAACTAGTGTTTAACAATCAGTTAAAGACATGTAAACAATTTGAGCAGCCAAAACTTCTTATGCTATATCACTTTCTTGGGACCTTGATTTCATATAACAATAACACGGCTTGCGAAGGAGGAGAAATACTCATTTTGGCAAAGAAAACGAGTACTGTACTGAGATCCAAAAGCTGGCAACACCATCCCGAAAATCTGACACACTTCATGAAATATGCTAAATCATTTCAAGTCACCTATTGGGTACAAAATGTGTCTTACCGATCAATGTACATCCATAGAGGTTGAATGCTGGACTCATCCCCGAAGTCACCTATAAAATGAGAAAAAGCACATATGTAACAAAATATTGATCGGAAAAGTTAAAAGACATGAAATAGCGTATATGTATTCGTTAAAAATAAGTAAGGCCCATTTGTTACAAGGAAACAGAACGCGTTTTGTGATGCTTTTGATGTAGGTTCTCAAGTCATGATATTTGATTTGTTTTGATCTAAAATTTGAGCTGCAGTCCCCAAATCAGAATTTGGATTTCAGAGCTCACTTGCTAAGAAGCCAAAAATTAATTTTGAATCTAGACATACCTTCTTTCCACGTGTCAGAGTCAGTCGAATGTGTGCATTATTAAACATTCCATTCCTTATTAGTGTTTTGAAAATAGCTTGCTTCACCTGCAGCATGTGTCATGCGGAATCAGGCTTTCGGGAGTAAGTTAAAAAAACATAAGTTAGTCTGTGCACTACAAATAACAGAGGCATTATAAGGAAGCTCACTACTTGAAAAATATAGTCATAAGGATTTATGTAATAGATTACCTCGTCTCGCGTTGGCACATTACTAAAAGCCAGAGCTTTTGCTGAGTCAAACAACCTA